GTAATGTACGGAATGTTCGACCTACAGCAGGTATTCCGAGACCTATCTTCGCTTTGTCATCTTGAGAGATGACAACTGACATATCAGAAAAAACAGACACAAATTGTTTTGCACATTTAACAGATGCAAGGCAGTAATGACCATCGGGGTGTTCACATGTATCAGTATGTGAAACTCCAGCAACTGAGACCCATGCTGGGTGATGATGTGCTTTCGCAGCGATAGAATTGGACTGGCGAGGTAATAAGTAATTATTTAATGTTGTTCGTGCCATATAGACACTATAATTGTTTTCAAGATTTTTGCGCAAATTTTCTATTATTCGCACTTTAACTACTTCTTTTCGCCGTTTTTCATCAGCTGATCCAAATTCAACAGACTCATGAATGTGGTTATGTAGATTCGGATATTGAAAAAGAAGTGGTGGACGACCCGGACTATCATAGTTTATAACTTCGTGATTTTCGATGAGTATTTTTTTTTTTTTTCTCTACAATTTTGAGTATACATAGCATTTCTTTTTAATTTGGCAATTCTATCCTTATTAGCTCTAATTTGAGTCTAAAGGTTGCTTATTTTTATATATGTATCATGTTTAAACTGAGTATCTGTTGAAATACTGTAAATTTGCTCGAATTCTGTAAGTTTTTTTTCTACTATGGTGATTTCGTTTGCTGCTTTTTTTTGTGCTGCTGCATTTGCGGGGACTTTAAGTACAGGTTCTACCGGATGGATAGTAGGGAGGGAGGGTTCTAAGGTCTCTTTGGGTATATATCTTGATTTTACTGTCTGTATATTATATAGATTAAACGAAGTGTTCAGATATTTTTTAATTATATCGTCGATTTCTAGTGCATTTTTGGTTTTGATTTTATTCCATTTTTGAGTTGCCTCGTTACAAGCTTTAGCATGATTAGGGGTACTGTTTCTCGTCTTCATCATAATACTATATATGTATGCGTTTGTAAACTCTTGATATTTATTTGCTGGTGAATTATAAATCGGGGTTTTTTTAAACTTTGGAGTTAAAAAATACATTTGATGCAACACTTTCTTTCCATCCTTGTCAGTGTTTATGCCTTGTTGGTTGCAGAAGCCAAGTTTATTTTGTTCATTTGAATTGCCATCTTTGTTATGTCTGATGGATTTATTACTTTCATTTTGTCCACCAGAATTACTGCCAATTTGTCCAACAGAATTTCCACCGTCAGCAGCTTTCTTTTTGCCTTTGGAAGTTCCTATACTTTTTTCATAGCAGGAACCAAGTTTAAGCTGATTATTCATTTTTATAAAAAAAAAAAGTGATGTGCGAAGTGAACCATATAATAAAGTGTGACTAGTGTCTTGTTTAGTCAATTAAATTGCTAATTTTGGGGGACATCTAAAGCGGAGGCAACTCCTATTTCTTTTCCGATTAACTTTAGAGTTAGGGTCATCTTATATTAGGGTTAGGCTAGATTTTAGGTAGTTATATATAAGCAAAATTGCCTTCCCAACATTTTTACTTAACCTACCTGAGGTAGATTAGACTGCTGTTCTTTGTATTTTTAGGTTTTCGTTTTTGTTTCTTGTTTTACTTCGCCGGCGATCATCAAAATTCTATAATTTGATTGGCTGTGGTCACGTGAAATTGCCCCGCTTTAGTTGGCTCCTTTTCTTATATTACCTTGGGGTGGGGGGGTAGGCATCTATAGTAAATTGATATTACGTAATATATGTCATAGCCCTAATATAAAAACATAAATATATAAATACTAAATTAAGTATATTTATTTGATTTTTTATAATTATAAATTGAAAAAAAGAAGTTATTTGCTAGGAACGGTGTATGAAATATATAATATATGGTTTACAGGTGAGAACCGTAGTATGTGATCTTGGTATCTGAATATTGAAGTTATGTACTGGTAAGATATAAGTTAAAAGTTGCTTTCTATTTTTATTCCAGCTTCGATTTTAAATGTGTTAATCCATAAAGAATAGTGCTATAATTATTATTACATGTAATAATTATTATTATATATAATAATTATTATTATATATAATAATATATATAATTATATTATTACATTTTTGTAATAATAATTATTACATGTAATAATAATTATAGTGTCATTCTTTAAGTTAACACACCCTTTGCTTGAATAGATTTGTAGAGAATAAGGCTTGTCTTTATAAGCATAATGGTCTACTCTATCAATAATGGAATACTAACACACATACAACATGTGGGTAAGTTATTTCATATTTGCTTATTATGATACCACAGCTTTCTAATAAAAATAGAAATTTGGATGAATTTCTAATAACTAAATTAAATCGGCATAGCTGTTCAACATGCGATAAGGTTTTCCATAAACACCTAATTCCACACGTCATTCAGTACATTTTCCAAAGATTTATTTAAATCCATAAGTGATTCATCATATCTGCTTAATAAGACACAAATACATCAGTTAGATCAAATTAAATTAATTAATTTAAAGACGAAAATAATCTTAATACCTGGTCATCATGCAATAAGAAGCTCCATGAACTCCTAATTCGATATATCATTTGGATCAATTTCTAATAATTTATTTAAATCTGTAAGTGATTCTTCATATCTGCTTAATAAAACAAAAACATTGTTTAGATCAAATCGAATTGATTAATTTAAATCTGAAAATAGCTTTTATTACCTATTCATTACGCGATAAGAATCTCCACGAACTCCTAATAATATGCATTATTCGGTTCAATTTCCAATGATTTGGTTAAATCAGTAAGTGATTCTTCATATCTGCTTAATAAGACACAAAAACATCGTTTAGAGCAGAGTCAATTAATTAATTTAAATATGAAAGTTGGACTTAATATCTGTTCATCATGCGATAAGGTTCTCTGCGAACTCCTAATAATATGTATCATTCGGTTCAATTTCCAATGATTTAGTTAAATTTGTAAGTGACTCTTCATATCTGCTTAATAAGGCACAAAATCATTAATTAGATCAAATCGAATTAATTAATTTAAATACGAAAATAGCTTTTATTACCTGTTCATTACGCAATAAGGTTCTCCACGAACTCCTAATAATATGCATCATTTGGTTCAATTTTCAATAATTTAGTTAAATCTGTAAATGATTCTTCATATCTGCTTAATAAGGCACAAAAGCATCGATTAGATCAAATCGAAGTAATTAATTTAAATACGAAAATAGCTTTTATTACCTATTCATCACACGATAAAGTTCTCAATGAACTCTTAATCCTACGCATCATTGAGTTCAATTCCAAAGATTGATTTAAATATGCAAGAGATGCTTCATATATGCTTTATATAAAACCACGGGATACAATGTATCAATTAATGTAATTAATTCTTGTTTAAAAAAACGAAAATAACGATTAGAAAAAGTGAGGATAAAAAAAAAAAATTCTGAATTGACTTCCTGGAAAAAAAAAAAAGTTAAACAATAATAAAACGCGAAAACAACAAAAAAAAATATACATTCTCAAGTTTACTTCTTTGTAAAAAGAAAAAAAAAAGAGAAGCGATAAGAAAAGAGAAAAAAAAAATAAAAAAATAAAACAACATTTGTTTTTTCTTATTGTTTAACTTACTTTTTTTTAACTGGGATGTCAATTTGGGAAGACAATAAAAAAAAAACATTAATACTTGTTTCTCTTACTTCAATAGATAATAAAAAAAAAAAAAAACATTATTACTTGTGTCTTTTACTTTAATTTGCCTCATTCACTTATTTTGCTATAGCCCACTTCTTAGTTTAGTTTAGCCAGTAAGTACCCTCGTTGGTATAGTTGTAAAAGTGTGGGCATTCAGCAGTGGAAGTGTTGAAAGTGACATGGTAAGAGACTTCATTGGAGTAGGTGTCGTATTGTGGGAAATCATTAGTGGAAGTGAAGGTTTGGGGCATAAAGTAAAAAAAAATTACTTGCACGTCTACTTCCTATAGAAAGAAAAGGAAAGAAAAATCAAAGATGGATATATATACTTTACTGGGTTACTTCCTAGTAAAAAAAAGCAGATAACTAATAAGAAAGAGCGAAGACAAAGAAAAAAAAAAAGGTTACTGGGTTTAAATAAAGCCGAAAGTAACGATTTAGAAAAAGCAAAAATGAAAAAAAAAATAGGCTCTTGAGTTTATTTTGTGGTAATAAAAGAATGTTAAGAAAAAAAAAGCTACCCAGAAAAATAGGCAAAAATCAGAAAAGAAGAAACGCAAAAAAAAAAAAATCAAACAGCGATAATAAGTAATAAAGGAGATCAGAAAAGAAATAGTGATAGGGCAAAAGGTACCCCGTCTAAATTTAACAAACATGTACAACAGAAGTGCATAAAAAAATATACTATTAGTAGTTTAAACAATTTATGCACTCCCGATATGCTGTGATTTCAGAATGCATACTATGTGACGGAAACTCCAAAATATATATATATAGACTAGATCATCAACCCCGCAGCCATGGCTGCGGTTTCTCATATTTACTTCTCTCGTAAAATTTCATGTAACATCACACTGCATTTTATATAATATAATTATATAATATAATATACAAGTTCCTGTGTACTATAAACACTTGCTTATGATAAAACTTAAATAAACATAAAATAAATTTTAGACAATCATTTGACTTCCGCTCCGTGTCGCTTTGCAACACTCTGCTGCAGCCAATTAGTTGTTCTATGCTTGGGTCCACTCCGCGGCCCTGCGCTATGGACACTCACTCATGTTAAAACTTTGTAAAAATACAATTTGTGTAACATTACACTACACTATATATTTAATATAATATAATTTATATAATAAATTTCAGCCAATCATTTGACTTTCGCTCTGTGTCGCTTTGCGACACTCGCTTTAGCCAATCAGTTGTCCTTCGCTTGGGTCTGCTTCACGGCCCTGCGCTACGGACACTTACCCGTGCTAAAAAACTAAAACTTACTAAAAACACAATTTGTGTAATGTTACACCACATTAGTTTTGTGCAACTGAAATATAATTTTAGATTTTACAGACAATAAGATCTTGTGTAACCTACCTGCAGATTTGTGTTATACAAGTTACACAATCATGTAACACAAACCACACTATATTTAACCTATAAATATCACCCAATCACATCTCATCACTATTACAACATGTCGTGATTTTGGAATGCATACTATGTGACAGAAACTCCAAAATATATATATATAGATTTAACCTAATTTAATTATTAAATTTTTTCATATATAATCATATAAGAACACTATATGTTTAAAGCTATATATTTTAAAAGGTTATTGTAATTTTTTAAAAAATAAAGCCATTAAGTTGTAGTAAGTTGATTAAGCACTATAGAATAGAGTTTTTTATAGTGCTAAACATTTTTACTTAATACATCAAACATAGTTATTAAGCTATTTTTAAGTTATAATAAGAGGTGGTTATGTGAATACTCTACAAAAATATATATAATATTTTGTATAACTTACAATTTAGCAATCAGAATTAAATGATTTTTGTATTATTAAATTTGTTTAAAAAATGAATTAAATGATATAAAAATTAACCACATTACCCTCACCTTATATATATACAAAGTAAAAATTTTTAGTTATATTATTTATTTTATATTGTGAATCTATGAGCCTATATCTTAAAATTAGAATTCTATTTTAAAGACTAATTCTCAAAACTAGAACCTAAGGTCTTAGCCTAAAGATCTTACCATTCCTAACCTGTATGTGAATGTGTCCTGAACTGAACAGTATAACACCAATTGTAGGCTTGTTAAGATAAATCTGCTATTAACGAACAAACAATTAAAACTTTTTAATACTGTGAATACGAATACTGTATTAAATATCTCTACTACAAAATCCCGATTAAACGGCCAGCATTATAGCTAATGCCGGCTAACTTTGTTATTATGTTAAATCGTCAATTTTATTTATCGATTTAAGATGAAATTTTTGTAAAGAACTCTAGCCAAAAATTTTTCTTGAAAACAATAAGCATAAATTAAATTGATTATGAAACTAAATATCGGTATATTTAAATAAAAAATAGACAAATACTATCCTATTATTGTTTTACAGCCTGAACGTATTATGAATTCGTTATTTACAAATTTTGTAATTAGTGTTTTTCGCACTTATAAAAGCCTCATTTGGCTTGTAAATATTACAGCAACTACATTTTCACATAACGATGAAAAATTAATAATCATGTTGATATCAATTCATTAATCATTCGAACACATGATCTGTAAATTTTTAAATCCTTTCGGGATTCTGTTATTCGGTAGAACCATATTGATATTAAATAGCTAGAAGTAAAAAATTTTATCTATAATTATAGCTAGTATTATTTGTAAAAATCAATAACAAGATTGATTCATACTATACTGTATATTCTAAAATTGTGATATTATATATATATATATTTTATTGAATGCATTATTACTGTTAGAAATTAAGTGATGCCCAGAAATATCCAAAACAAAAATTATCATTCAAGAAGTCTCTCTTTCAGCAAGAATTCCCAAATAGCATCAAAATAACCCGGCTGAGCGACAGTATCACCATGCTTACCATGCGGAAACTCCCGAAGCTCTTTTCTATTTCCTTCTACAGAATCATACAACTTCTTCATGTGTTCTTTTGGAATAAGTTCATCTTCAGTTCCAGAAAGAAATAAAATTGGAATGTTTTTTAGATGTTTTATAGCTTTTTCAGATTCCCATTTTTGCGTACATAAAAATGATAAATGACGAAGTTGAGGAACTACATGAGGTATTAATTTTGGCTATAATAAATTGAATTATATTTTTAGTTTGAGAGATATTATAATAATTTTTAGTGCGTTTTTATGATATTGGCTAATAGCGAATACTTACGATACTCAAAAAAGTATTTTCAACTATTATACCAGCCAACTAGTAAAAATAAAGAAAGGTAATGGGAATTATTTTTATAAAAATATGAGATTTTAAAATAAATAAATAAATTAAAAAATAAATGAATTAAAAACCTTATTTAGATTCTTTGAAACTAGATCAATTGCCACGGCACCTCCAAGCGACTGGCCGTATAAAACAATTTTTGTATGTTTTAATACAGGGTGATTACAAATATAATTTAACGCTGTCTAAAAAAAACATATAAATATAAAGTAAAATCAGATATTTTGCAATATTCATTTTTAAAGGTTACGGCACGATTCCCCGAAAGTTATTTCATTTCCCCGACACCGTAATGCCGACATGATATTTCATCTACAGCACACTTTTTAATAAGCATATGCTTGACATTACATTCAACAATCCTTTTCTTAGACAAGACATTTCCCTGACAATAATTTCCCAAATATAATTCTAACCAACACCAATTCTAAATCGGACCAATTTTATGTCGAAGAAATGATTATCGGGGAATGTTTTATCTAAGAAAATTATTGTCGAAAATATGTAATGTCGAATATATATCTTATCAAAAATATGCGCTGTAGATGAAATAGCATGTTGGCATTGCGGTGGCAGAGAAATGAGTTGGAGGGTAAATAGCTTTCACGGAATTGAGCGACAACCTTTTTAAATATGTATTTTATATATTTTGAGAGTGATTGAAAAAATCGATTAGTCTTTACCTGAGCATCTATTTTAAGACCCTTCTCTGTTGGGGAACCTTCACTATGACCATACCTACAATAGTTTGAATGTTAAAAAAAAATCATGAAACATAAACGGTTAAAATTTGATAATATTCGATAATATTCTTACCCTCTATAAGATAACATCACAACATTACATTTGAAATCATTATAAAATCTTTCAGCAATCGGTATACAATGACCCTTTATTTTAAAATAATGATAATTGATTAAGTTTCCGAATAGATAACTATTAATAATGATAATAAAGATACAGTACAAGGTTTCCTGCATTGCCCTACAAAAAAGAAAACAAAGAAGTTATATCACTGTAACTGTCCATGCAGAATATAAATAATAATTAATACGCACATGAAACATTAACATAGTAGGCTGCCTACGAGCTTTATGTTCATTAACTTGTTGTAAAACATAAATTCGTATTTTTACTTTATCTTGTGTGGGCAAAACTTCATCTTTGTAGTCTAAAATCCCATAATCAGATGGATTTGGGACCTTATTTTTTTTAATTATTCATAGCAAATTAAAAATTAAATGTGAAAGAAAAAAAAAGAGAATGAAATTTTTTCACACATACGTATTCCCTTGATCCGTCTGGATAATCTGAAAGATATAAAAGATTACATTGGATAGATCCAATGAATGTCATACCAGCAACAAAGTGTCTAAAATATCTTGAAATTCCATCCATCTTTTTTTTTTGAACTACTAACTATATGGAGTACGATTTTTTTTATTTTCAAAAAAAATATGAAATAATTCTTATTTATAGGAAACCCTTTATTGGTTTAAAAAAATGAAAAAAAGATCGTCTGTGCATTTTCCAACCTTATGGAAGCGAACTAAATTAGGAAAACAGTAACAAATATTAATTAATTAAGGAAAATTATAAAATTCCAATATAGTGGTAAAGGAAACTTGGCATAAATTAGAACTCTAAGGAAACAAATAAGGAAAAACTATGTGGCTTAAGAACTTAAATTCCTGCAATGAATAAGCTTGTTATTAAAATAATGCTAAAAATGCCAGATGAGTAAGCATACGTATAACTATTGTTATAACGATAATAATTTAATTGTTTAAATTGACATTTATTAATAACAACGCATTTACGAGTGGGGTCGATTGTTAAATAAAGAATTCAATATGTACAGTATTTTACGTAAACTGCATGAATCATATGATATTCACAAGATAAGAATTCATTTTTGCAATGAAACCGGAGTGCATATGTATGTATATGTATGTACATGCGTACTACAGTATATCGATATCCCTAATTGGTTTGTATTTATCACATTATCGTTATAGTCCTGCGCTGGTTACCGAATTTGATTGGCTAACTAGGCATTACCGTTACGATTTAAGAATTAAGGTTAGCTAGCATTTGTTTTCGTTATTGCCCGAAGTAGCACCTAATGCTAAGCGGACATAATGTACGTACATACGTACACAACACTTTAGCCGTGAAAAGGTGGCAGCTCGTGACGATGATCCCAACAATCCTACGTATGAATACTTAATTTTCGGAAAATTTTGACCACAGCTTTTATTTTACGACTGTTCTCAAGTTCAGAACAATTGATACCTATTTTCGCGAAATAACGCCCATGGGCGTTATTTTGGGACACGAGTTTGAGTCAAGCTAATAATTAATCTAGGTTATACAATGCATATTACTAGTCAAATATGAAAGTAGTGCTCTGAACGGATTGACCCGAATTAGGGATGTTACGGTCCTACTAGGACTGTGGTCCGGACCGGTTTTTTGAACCGGTTCAAGCAGTCCTCGGTCTAAAATTTGGGACCGGG